TGACTCTGAAATGCACTGATTTAACAAACAGCTAAGCAAAAACCGTGTTGATCTTAGTATGTCCTGTTGTTAAAACATCTGTAAAATGATTCCATCCGGGTACTAAGCGATTTGAGTTTTTAGTTGTACATGAAAACAGGAAGCTGTAGGATCCCTTTCTTCTCTATGAGGGACACGAAGAGGTCTTGCACGAGCAATCGCTTCAAACAGCCTACTGTATGCCGATGAAATTAAACCATGTCGCAGGATGCAAGTGAACGCAGACCAGCACATTTGCTTCAGAGTGACTCAGATAAGGTACGTAAGTGGTCATGCAGAAATGTACTGCAATTCAACCTGAGCCAATGCAAGGCACTCTCCTATGGACTAGGAATACAAGTACTGAAACAATCGTTCGTCAAACGCTACCTAGGTATGCTGGTTCAGGAAGATTTGATTGTTCCAAACAATCCGAAAAGACAACCAAAACTGGTAACCAATAATTCGGACTGTGCCGACGGGCGTTCGGGCAAACCAACCTCTCTATTTCCCGACAGATGCTCAGTGCGTACGTTCGCTCCCATGTCGAAAACACAAATCAAGCCCGACCCCCATGGCTGAAGAACGATCTCACTGCACTGAAATAGCCTTAACTTTTGGCTTCCAAATACTTTACGAGAATGCTCCATCTACCATACGAGCAGAGGCTGAATCGTTTGGGAGTATACAGCGGGCGGTATCGCCGACTGCGAGGCGACCTAATGACAGCGTACTTTATTTGTCACCACCCACATCATGTGCGCCGCTCCTTACTGCAACTCCGCAGCAATACAAATCTGAGAGGCCACTCACTGAAACGTGCAGAACAGTACAGCCGCCTGCAGGGCAGCAGGAAGTTCTTGTCTACTGGTGTATGTCACCCGTGGAATGCTCTCCCTGAATCGGTGATCTCTGCACCGACACTAATCATACTCAAAGGATGATTGGATGACGCACACAACCAATTGCATTTTGATACCTATCACTATCTATCCGTTGTACTCCTGGGAAATACGTTGGACTACTTAGTTGCCATCTATTGGTGTGTGCAATTACTCGGAGTGCTCGGCTACTGCATCACAAATGATAAAGCCTTTCAATTGACAGTCAATTTACCAACTGCTTCTGAAGAGCTCAGACGCCCTACTTGTGCGTTCACATCCCCTGCAAGTACTATCATATCTGAACTAGTATCACTGCGTAGTAGGACGTTCAGTTCGTGGTAGAATGTGTCCTTGACAGCATTAGAACTGCAGTCGATGGGAGCATAAACGGAAATCACAAACAAACAGCGTTTTGTATTACTTCGTGAATACACCTTAGTTAATGTCGTCAAATGGGCTGCACATAAACTGCTGTTCACCGGAATCCAGTCAACCAACGATGGCTCAGCCTTGGAGCTGAAGATGATACCTACAGCCAGCTTGACCCGTGAGTGCCGCATCGGCGTCTCCGGATGCGTGCAACCAATAACGAGAGGATAAGCCGGGTGCAGTCAATTCAATAACCCCGTAAGGGTCATTGATCCTAGTTTCGGACACACAACACACATCAATACCCAGCGCGTCCAAGGTGCGTGCGAGTGCAGCCTGTTGATCTGTTTGTCTTAGAGTGCGAACATTGAATGTCGTCACGGAAACGGGATGGCGTGGCCTAATAAGGGACTTTAGCCGATAGGCGTCCGATAGTTGTGGTGGGATGGTGGCTGCAGGTGTTTCTATCAATGTACCAACTAGCTGTTTACGTTTTTGATAACCACACTAGACCACCCATCGAGGCTGAAAAACTAGTGCTACTTCATCTGAATAAAAACAGTGTTCATTTTTAGTGTTTGTTTCTGTGAGGTACTCTTTTGGTTCCGACACCTCTTTGGCTTCCGACATCTAGACCAACAATGAACCGTTAGCCATTGTGATAATTTTCATTCGCGGATCCTCGTGCCTTCACGGAGAAAAGGTTGTACGGTGATCTCCGTCCTCATGGTTAAAGTCTTATTTCGCCCAGCCCTAAAACGAAACTGGTGTTGGAGCACCGTTGTAAACTTGGGTAGCGTTCAGACCTTATCAAGTCAAGTCAAGCCAAATCAAAATAAACTTTACGAACCCTAATGGGTCCATTTTCAGCATTTACACCATCATTGCGGACAAATTGAATGAGAATATAACTATACATACTTACTGAGAAAGACGGAAAATACGCACAACTGTCACTCCAATAACCGCTCGTGCAGCGCGTTTATGACTTCCATTGCGTTAGTAAGCAAACTTGATGGTTATGGTTGGACAGTATTACAATATGCCGACATGCGGGAGAATGACATTTCAACTTGAGAACGCGTGTATCTAGAAATGTGCTTTTTTTGAGCACTTCAACAACTGGTGGTCTTTTTGAGACTTCCGACACGATCCCAGCGAGAAAACTGACCGGCATTCACTCCAACGTTCAAGATGGTTCAAATCGAGGCTCTACATGAGGAACACCTTATCGGTTTGAGCTTGGACTCATGACTACTCTTGAGCCTTCGTATATTTTCTTGTGCTGGACAGTTAATAACGTTCTGGCCCTAAGCCTTGCGCCTATCAATAGTGACTTCACTAGCAAGTAACTGACAATGCCTAGTAAATTGCCCATGGGCTGCTCAAGGAGGGAGAAGTATGTTACTTGAGGATAAATCTGACCAAGCGTTGCTCTCGTATCTCAGTAACGTAGTGTTCAGAGTGTCATCTGTGAGCTACTAAGCTCAGAGTTCCACCCCAGCTCAGGCTATCTCCACCTGCTGAGTCCAAACCAGGAAGAAACCGCGGTCCTGGTGTGCCAGTGTTGGGAGGAGCAACACCCAAATATTTTCATTTCGGATACATTCCTCGCGATCGGAATGATTGAGGTTTACCTCAAAGTGAACCGACGTCTCAATAGAGGTTACGAGTCGCAACCCAACCACACAGTCTGTTTGCTAAATTCAACTTTAAATCTGACTAAGTTTGTGCTACACAGTCGGTGTTTCACAAATATAGTGCTCCCTCACATGGAATCTACAACTGTTATCGGGCGGTTTCAATGTTCGTCTACGAAGTGCTTAGCAGAGATATTTTCTACAGCAGAATAGGAAGCGGTCACAAAACTCGAGGGCTTCAACTCAGTCGACCTCACCGCACCTAGCTTTAACGGTGTTTCTTGTCTAATCACATTGTTATGCGAATGTAAACCGCTCTCACAGGGAGGCGAATGTACTCCGCTTGCCTCACCGTCTTCATACCAATGAAGCCGACTGTTATCTTTCCCGGTGTAACCTGGAGTTCACACATTGTTGCCGGCACCTGCTCGAAACAAAAGTACTCAAGCTCAATCTCAATCAAAAACGAACCGCCTGAATTCGTTCAAGTAAAAACAGCCTCAAGTATGTCACAAGAATCCATCCCCAGTCGAACCGCAGGCTATTTTGTGCAGCGGAATGGCCGTAAGTGAACTTAGAGCAACGAACAAGGGGGTTTTCATAGTCTGAAGGAAATGGGCACATAGCGTGTCGCTCAACTAATCCCACGTCATCAGTTTCACCTATTGTCTATCACACTAACACTACTGTGCTCTTGACAAACTGATGCTCTTTGCTGCTATGCAAAATTGACCGAAAATTCTCACATTGTCCTCTTTATCCCTACCATTATGCACTGCCCTATCAAACTGTGCCGGAATCGTATAGGTTCACATGAGGTGTCGCAATCCATGGGCACCGACTTCAATGGATTTTCTAACCAAATCATTCGAAAGTTGTGGTGTGGTCATGGATTAATTTGAAGAGCTTGTATCATGGTATGGTTAGATCAGCATGCTTACAAACTGTACGGTGATAGAAGTCGAGTTACTTCGTTAGAATTTTGCATTCGAGTCTCTAGAATCGAGGACCAATGCGTGCTTCCGACGAGTCCGGATAGGATGACGGAGGAGCCTGTTTCTCTCCCAGATGCATAGAGGCTCTTTGGTTGAATCGGACTGTGTCATATCTCTTGAAAATTTAATCTACTGACATTCCGAACCCCGCTGTATTGGGTTGGATGCATGCTAAGACGTGATTATCCACGGTAACACATAACGCGATGAAACCTCGCAAGCTGACGGGGTTTGGCTTCCACGTGGCTTCGCTTCTTCTTTCTCTCCATGCTTACTCACTGTAGTAACACATACGAGACAAATCAAAAGCTTGCCTCCATACCCTTGAGTTGGTTACCCCATTTGAGCTGCGTATCCTGCGGGGATCGTTACTCTCCTCTTCGCCAAACGAATAAGACACTCTACTATTTTTGTGTGCGTTTCAAATAGTCACAGACCGTAGTGAATTGATGACTTATCTCACCACCACAGGACATGACCATACAACCCATAGATGAAAATGAAAATCTATTTGTACTGAGAACTACCAACTTGTAACAACTGTCTTCGGATGTACGTGTGCTCACGGATTGGACGTTGCAGCCAGGACTATTGTTGTTAGTTCAGTACGTCACAATTTACAACTCCGAGGACCAAGCAACCATCTTCCTTTCCTGAAGCTTATACCTCAATGGGGAGAAAACATGTTACTAACAAGCCTACTGGCAGTAGCAAGATATCGTCACTCCTCGCACTTTCGCTATTCCCAAGGGTTTGTGATACCTTCCGTACCAAAGGCTCAGTGCTGAGACTAAGCGGAGACCTCATCATTACATATGCTGCCATATTAGTAAGTACGGTCCAAATATTAACCTGTGAGGTTGATATTTAAAATTCAGTAAGCAATATAGTCATCGGGCCTCCCAACGAAGTTACTTCCCATTACCGGTCTATCCACCCTTGGAAGGTTTTGGAGGTCGGTTGTTTGTGCCTATAACAACCATCGTCAACAAGTGTTCAAACCTCACATTCAACGTCCTGCACTTTCTTACAGCAACGGGTAATTTAGGATGTCATCGGTTGGCTTGGTATATCTAGAAGTATAAACCACACTGATGAACGGACATTGTTGCAAGCGGGTGAGTCATCCGATTGTTCTGTACACACAAAGTTAGCTACAAGGTTCTGTTACCTTGTTTTGCATGATACGCTTACACTTTCAAATGTTTGCCCCCAAATATATCGTTATTCTGTCACCTCATAGCTTATTCGCATGCATAAGGGTTGCTTTTGGAGTTTTGTCCCCATCAATCTGTGAAGCCTGTTCAGTATACGCGTTTTACTCGCCATAAACCCTTTTTCCCACGAATATATTTAGCCAGGCAGTATCGCACGCCCACAGAACACAGTTTCCGTCTTATTTCACACTTCTTGCACAGCCACAATTCTCCTCTTCGTTCGAGTTTATCCAGAAAGGAGACAGCGCCGAATCCATCACCACTGTGTCTAGTCAGAGCATCTTTCTGTTATCCGAATGTCTACCTCGAAGTATGGAGTTTAACGTTTTCACTATGGTTCGGTTGGGTCGACCAGCAACTCTTACTTTGATACTGTGCACTGTTGGAATGGAGTTTCGTCTCAATAAGACTCCTCTGTAATGAGATTGTACGTGTAAAGAAGTTTCAGTCACCGGATGCAGACAATTGTGTTTACATCTACACTGTTTACGTTCCCAGCTATTGTGAATTAACATATCCGGGTTATTAATAGCGTGTGAATACCTAATACTCACTACTAGTGGGAATACCTGTTTGCAAGCCTAACGATTTAATGTTCCTATGAGACTTAAAATATGGTGCTGTTCAGGCTGGAAGTTTTAGCGGAATTACTAGGTAACAAAAGACGCGACACGGCCTTCTTTGGGTCAGCAGGAAAGCTAGTAACGGTGGTAACTTGGAGACCATTTAAAAGGACTTTTACAACGTAGTGTTACGTGCAGATTTACAGAGTGCACCTTGCGTTTATCCCTATTAAAAGTTAGACAACCATCAATATTTGAAGAAGCCCGAAAATGCAGTTTCGGTCATTGTGGTTAGCAGCAGTGCTCTTTCTGACTTCCCCAGAATGATTTGAGACTTGGATTTTGCTCTTAACGGCCACGTCACTGAAGGCTAAGGAGTTTGCAACGAAAGACATAACTAGATAAATAACCAGACTGTGGTACCTCACTCTACAAAATGACGTCTTCCGGCGGTTCCCATCCTTTCTTCAAATCGTCCGATGTACGAATGTATATATACTGTTGCAGTATACGAGGGAGATCGCCCCCTAAGTTTATACACTATCCAAAGAACCATTTCACGCTCAGGCACAGTCAGATTGGGGGTGGTTATCAACCACTTCTGTAAAGTTTGAATATTAATGAAGGGATAATATTGGAGCAATCGCTGTGTATGCGATCTGCATGGTAGTGGATCTAAATCAGTTCGCCCACTAGACGCTAGCTGAAGTAAATAGATTTGCTATCCAATCGAATCGCAGTTCCGTTATCTCCAACTGATGGTAATGAACAAGATCGAAAACGCGTCGTGAAGCACCGTGTTTTCGGGGAGGACAGCACATAATTTTCTTCCAGTTCGGATGTAGCCCAATTGATTTAAATGACCAAGGTTCATTTCAATGTGAATCGCGGTCTACATTGAGACTGAGCGTGTACTTCAAACTGACTCCTCCAATCAGTCATTAGCCGTTCTGCCAAACCTTGCTAGTCGTGACCCCGGTGGCTAAAGGTGCGGAGGTACTGGATGACACCCCAGAAGTTCCGAGTTCAAATACAGTGCTGATGACAATAAAGAATTTAGAAAGGGGTCGTGGAGTGCAGTGCTACAAGCGAGCAACCCTACATATCTGGCTGCTCCGGTATTAATTTCGTATTAGCTGTTCACTTATCCGCCATAGACTACCGCGCCAATGCAGTATTCCGTATCCATTTGCAGTACTTCGATGTATTCCGGCGGTGCTGCCGTATCCCAATGCATTGAATTAGTTCCTTTGGCTACAGTGAAGTGACAGATTTCGGAGTTATCTGTTCGGCACTTGAATTTTCTCTCCAGTCAACGCCCAATAGAATCACCTCCTTTGCATAATGCAGAGGGGGTATTCGAGTCGCTTGTCCACTTTGCAAGCCAAGTCTTAAGGGTACATGGATTTCCAAGGTTCCGCTAGCTCATTAGGGTATTGAAGCCACCCCAAATAAGAAAACATTATCGTATTGTCAGAAACACTAACTGCCGTCTGTTTTGGTGCTTCAGGGACGAACACCAATCTATGTGGATGACGATAGTCTGTGCGAAAGGAAAATTTGAGGATGGCTGGATCGTTCGACGCCATTTAGATCATGTGCGACCGAGATTATCCGACACAGAAACAGTTGCCGAGGCACAGCAGCCAGCTCAAGCATCGAACGGCATGCACGTGCGTGACGCCGAACCGGTAGCTAGTCACAATTGCGGCGCTCGGAGTGCCGACGCCGACCGGTCGATCGCTTCCAAGCTGGTTAGCTCCAACTAAATGGGGGGAAAATGCTACAGACCTTGAGCGCTTCAAGGTCATGCTACACTACCTAGTCTGTGGAGCTGCATTGTGCGCGCTAGTGCGTGAGCGTCCATCTCCCGTCTAACCAGTGATGCTTATTGATCGGTTAAAAAGCGAATGCTTAGCTAAAACATGTGAACTGCGTAAAACAAAACAGTTCATCTTATACCCAGTGTGGACTGCCGACGTACTATTGTCATTGCTTCTAATAAACTTCTATTTGCAATACTGTTGTTCTGATTTCGGTTGAGTTTAACACAAGTCAACTCGATCAGCTCAGGTGATGCGTGTCAGATAACTCCCTGATTTCTTCACCAAACATGGCTCAGTCAAGATGTGAAAACACACCTGTTCGTCCTCAGAGTCCCGTGCGAAAGTATTATCTCTATTACCAACATAAATTTAGTGCTTACAACAGCAAATTCTGCCTGCAAAGCTCTTGTTGCGTTAAGTTTATCCGAAGCGCTTCCTAAGCCCCTTTGGATGTTGTTATGGCACTGTGTAGAAAACGCGAAAAGCATCGTTGGTCGGAGGTTCATGTCTGTTTTGAACTAAATGTTCAAATATGGAATTCCTGATACGTCCGACCATGCCTTTCCGCAGAGACCCGGGGCAGTGCTCAGGTATCCTTATCGACCGATGCCTGGTCGTTTGACCGAAGCACCTTGCACCACAGGTGCAAGTAAATTAACCGACGATATACGATTCAGATCTGGCCGGTAATCTGTCCTTAAGGCGCTGAGCAATAAATGGAGGGTCTCCGCACGAACGTGCGGATTAGCTGCAGGATAGGTTTTGGTCACGGCGGTGGAAAGTCTTCTACCCAACAGGTAGAAAGCGATACCACCCTCAAAGGGACCCTTAAGAAACACCTACTATTTGGGAGTGCGATGACAGGCTCACCGTGTTCACGGATTGTAACATGCTTTTTGGTTAACGAGGCAGACTAGCCGTTTGAGTGTAGCATCTCGAATATACTTTCGTTCACCTTTTCTACGGACTTAGAGTAAGAGATTTTGGAGGCGCGCAAATACAAGTAGCGAACTAAGTTATGTTTATACCTCAGAAGGAGGAAACTTAGAAAGGGCGTGTATTGTCCCACCCACATAGCCTTCTGAAAGACACTTCTCTTAAGAGATCCGTCTTCCTGCCTCTTCAGTAGTCGATCCAAGTACGTCAACTCTCCTTCTCTTCCGATTACATTAGTGAACCTGGGTGATGGGTGTGCACCACTGAGATGATCGGGTAAACCAAGGACATTAACGTTAGCGTCACATGCAACAAAGGGGTCGTGCATGTACCTGTATTAGAAATCCAGTGACGCAATAACCGCTTGCATTAGACCACGTTCAACTTTAGCGATGAAGACGTCTGCGAGAAGAGGTCCTAGGAGCGAACCCATAGTAACTCCGTCGATCCGTCGATAATGCATTCCATCAAACAGGAACTGCCTATTGAATGTGCACTTCAAGATTAGTTCGCTTAGTTTTGGCACTCGAATGCCGACATTAATTGCTTTTTCGGTTATGTATTCGTAGGTATTGACAGTCTTAAGGAAGTGGACGTCAGTGAAAATTGACTCCCCACCAAAGGAGGGTTAACTTGCTGCCTAACTTCAAGCCTGTAACTTTCGCAATAAATTTAAAAGAGTCTTTCAGAGAATGTATGGATAGCTCTTTGCGTACTGGTCCCAGCAGCAACAGTACGTGCAGCTTTCTGACGGTGTTCAAGCGTTTAATGTGTATGTGATTTTCATGTGGAATGTGCCTGGTAACTCCGGTAGAACCACTAGCCTGTGGCACTCGCTACTTTTTAAGCACGAGTGATTACACACCTTAAGAACCTGCTACATCTTGCGTATCAAGTTTGACTGAAAACCATGAAAGTGCAACAACGATAGCATCGGATTCTGCCGGACAAATTTGTAAAGACAATCCATCTGCTCGAAACCCCAGCTACGTCTATAATCGTCTTCATAAACTTGACCACCAAGCAGCGTTCGGAGCCGTCAGATAAATCTGACCATCCAATAGTATCCACTCCAGTTTCTCCTCATTACTGTGACCAGTGAACGTTAGCTAAAGTTTGGAAAACCCTCAGCTATTTTGCCACAGTAAATATAAAGATGATCGACATGAAAAATGGAGCTATTAACCACTACAGAAGTCAAAATCAAAAATAAGTAATGTATTGCTTAGTACCATACTAGGAAACTTATACAAAGTGGTAAAAGTGGAACTTGGAATAGATTTGCCGTGAAGATTCGTCCCAATCACACCAAGTGAAGCAAATACAGCAAGTCTGAAAACACACTAGAAGACCGTTACGTCCATTCATCGAAAAGATGTTTTTCCAGCTCTGTTGGCCTTGGAGCTATCTCCAATATATAGCGTTTTCGCAATTAAAGAACTATATACCACTAAGCCATCAGCTCTAGCCTATGTAGTCCGCATTCACTCGGTTATCCATTGACCTCGGCAAGCCATGGGCTCATCGTTTGTCTCTACACAGTCGGAGCAGTCCTATGAACACTCGCGATTACGCGAATGTCATAGTGTATCCACCACTACATGCGCCATTTGGCTGAAAAGTTTAAGTTGTTCATTTACTTCTTCCAGTGACTAACCTAAGGGGCCTGTTAAATCCCAGCAACTTTAATTGCGATCAGCTATTTATCCCTGTTCATTGTAATAAGCTGCACTTTTCCAACTAAGACACCGTAAGCAACACGACAGCTAGAGTCCAGAACATCGACAGCTGTCCCAGTACCACACGTAGCTCACATTTGACTAAAGCGGTTCCCAGTTCGATCGGAGTAACTACACGTAAGGCTGATTCCAAACTCCCGACGCAGTGCATAGAAAAACAGCAAGTTGGTACGAGCCAAAGTTTGGTTACGGTTGCCTTCAAGAAGAGCCGTCATTTAAAATTAACATCACTCCCAAATGGATCGGAAACTGAGGAGCGTAGCAGAATTTTCCTAAGGCAAGCACCACCGGTTTCCTGCGGTACATCTCCGAGTACTTCAATCACTAACCGCGACATGTCGAAAGATGTAAAGTAA